CTCAGCCAGCTTTGCTGGCTGAGGAATTCTGGGAATTGAAGTCCACAAGTCTTAAAGTTGCCGAGGTTGGACACCCCTGCGCTACACCATTCTGTTTGCTTTATTTGTTTTCTTCTAGCCTGTAACAACAACAACAACAACAAACAATAAAGAAACCTAGATGAAAAGATGAAGAAAAATCAAAAAGCTAGCTAGACCAATGAGCAATCATATTTAATTTGACATGAGAGGATGAAGATTTATTTGATCATCCGAATGCATGGGGGCATTACAACAGCAGCGTTAGACCAAATAACTCCACCCAAGGGAGAGAATTAAAGGAAACAAGCCCAGTGGACAAGAGTAGCAACCAGAAGCAAGAGATGTCAACTTTAGGCTATTTGCAGAGGCAGCATTCTCTGAGCTCTCAGGACAAGGAAATTGCGGAACAAAAACAAAAGGGGTGGTGGTGGTAGTGGATTATTGTGCCCTGCAATAAAACAAAAAGAATCTCGGGAGTTAGCAAAACAGAAATAAATACACACTGACTGGACCAATTGGCATATGAAATAAACCGCCTTCCAAGAGCAAAATCAAACATGTGACAGAGCATCAGGGCATATTAAGTCCACTGTCCTACAATTTCATCTAGGGCTAAAGGTATTGCAAAGAACAGCTAGAGATATATTGTCAGTGACCCTGAAGATCTAGAAAAGACGCTCAAGAACAGATGGTGGTTTCATCCATCTTTGCAGTCTAGGGAAGAGGGCTGAAAACTAAATACTGCAGATTACTGAAGAGCTATGCAAGCAACATCAAGAGAAAAGGTCCATTATTATCTGGGCGATAAACTGCTGACTTGAAATGGATTGCAGCTCATAAAGATTTGTAAATAAGTCTTTAGCCAAAGCTGTGTAAACTTGATTGGAAGAACTTTAAATTGAGGGCAGATTAAACCCTGAAGTAAGATGTAGGATTAATTCTTGTGTGATCTAGAAGGAAGTAGAGTGAAGCCTTAATGGTGCCTATTAAACTACTCAATAGTAAAATCAGGAAGAACATTGGCCCATAAAGTTCACAGGCTTTGTTGTCTATATCCTAATGCCAACAGCATAGGAAATAAATAAAATGAACTTAAATGTTTAATACAGGAATGCAACTGAAGTTTAATAGGTATAATAGAAGCAAATGATTTCCAGTATAGAAGTAAAACCACTGAAGAATACCATCTATTCAAAAGGAACAGAAACAACGAAAAGGGAGAAAGAATAGTACTTTATGTAGCAAGTATTCACATCTGTTCAGAAATCCAGGTAAACAAACTTTGTGGCATCATAGTCAGCTCTTGGGTTAAAATAATGGAAGAAGCAAATAAAAGCAATATTGTAATAATGTCTATTATTCTTGCCCAATGAAGGAAAAAAATATGGATGCTGTTTTAGAAAAGCAAATTGCAGATCTTTCAAAGCAAATTGCAGATCTTCACCCTGGCAGCCCAAAGTTGTTGGAGCGTAAGAAGGTTATTGGAGAGCATGATGGATGACTCTTGGAGATGGCTGTGTCCCATTGGAGAAGTCACATCCAGGGGGTGGGGGGAAGACCAGGTTCAAGGGGGAAATGCATGATGTAATTTAGTATTGGCTGCATCCAGCTTATGCCAACATGGCCACTTCTAATAAATCAATTTTCTTTTTTCTAAGATGCGGCTAGAGACTTTTGATTTGAATGGGGGTGGATTTGCTGGAGCCCTGACAGCCATCTTGTTTTGGCAATGAGTCAATCAGATCATAGTAGGATTCATTTATTGATATCATGTATTGAAGCTGAGAGGACATTTGTCAATGTGTTACATGATCAAGTTGGTTGGGTTTTTTTGTGTTCTTTCATTTAGTGAGCTTGTAATAAAATTAAAGTAATGGTGCAAAGAGTTGACTGGTCACCCAGAAAGCGATGTAAAATAGTAGTATTAAGTGAACAAGGCTACAGTTATAAAGAAATTAGAAGAAAAATTGGTGGAAACTTAACCAAAGGTGGCATTTCTACATTTCTGAAGAGGTATAAGGAGACTCAGTCATTACAAAACCACACTGGTAAAGGCAGGAAAAGGTGTACAACAGCAAGTGATGATCGAAAAATTAAGACTGCCTACGTGACAGAAGAAAATCATTTGGGTGTATACAAGATGAAATGGTGCAATGCAAAGTGAAGTTGAGTGCAAGGACTGTTTAGCACAGACTGCAGGAATTTGGCTTAAAATCTAGAATTCCACAAAAAAAGCCACTTTTATCTCTCCAACAAAGGTTGAAAAGACTAAACTGGGCTAAAACCCATGTTATCTGGACAGAGGAACAATGGGACTGTTATTTGGAGTGATGAGACCAAGATCTCCTGTTTGGTAGTGATGGCATAAAATACATAAGGAGACACGTTTCCCAAAAGGTTTCCACAATTTTGGCCACTACTGTAGATGAGCCCAAGCAGAACTGCAGAGCCATCTCTCTGGATTGTTTTGATTTAAAACCCTGCCTTGGAGGGTTTGGGGTCAATAGCTTAAATGGCCCTTTCCAACAATATAATCTGTGGTTCATTCCTGAGGCTGGGCAATTGATTGAAGCAACTGCTTTGCACTGCAATCTCATACACCTGTATCCAAGAATAAATCCCACTGCACTAATCAATAGAATTTTCTATTTTTGTGCTATTAATCACATTTTTTTATCTTCTTTCGTCACTGCCTGATTCCTCCTTCTAAAATGTAGGTTTAAAGAAGTATCCCAATCATATATGGATGTGGATTTGTCTTACTCACCAGTGGTACCAGTGAAAACATCACCTTGGGATGGACTTTCTGAGATAATAGCTGTGGCCTCCACAGCTGCTGTACGATCAAAGGTCAAAGTGCCCGAAGTTGTAATCTGTCCTGAAGGAGTCACAGTGACTAAAAAAATGATGAAAATATTTTCAGAATTAAGTAGAATGCTAATACTTAGTGATCAAGGGATCTCCCCAGTTTTGTTTCTAACCAACAGAAACACCCCACTGAGCTTTTAGATATAACTGTCCAAGAACAATCATACTTTTTCTCTGACTGAAAGAAATGGAGCAAGCCAAATTAATAAGGCTAAAAGCTTCCCAGTTTAACACAATAAAGAGACAGCTCGGGGCAAAAAAGAACATATTTTATTAAGATGGAAAGCAAACATTAAAATTAAATACAGAGGATAAGACTTTAAGTAATATTTGCAATGTTGATGTTATTACTCAAATTATAACCATCAGCTAGTAAATAAAGATCAAACAAGGATTAAGGGCACCAAAAGAGAAATTTAAGATGATTTGCAATTTATACTAAAGTGACAAAGATGAAAAGGAGGAAAGGCTGTTTCTTACAAAGTGTACAATGACCACTGAACATTGAATTGTTTTTGAAATGGATTTTTTTTGACATTTTAAAAACAATGTTAAATGACTGTTAGGATTCATTTGTGAACATTTGGAGCCCTTACATGTGGTGGCAGCAGTTCCAGGAAGCAGGGTGATGTTTTGGGGAGAATCCTTCTTCACTGGAGTTGTAGGCAATTCATTCTCTTTTTTTCTTCTTTTATAGGGGACAAACAGTCTTATGGGACCACTCTGATAAAGAGAAAGCAACCACTGTCAGAATATGGCAATAATTCTTTCTGGAGATAGAATTAATGTTTGTTCGTTTTTTGCTAGTTGAAATAATCTAAACTTTGTATCAATTGCCTCAGCAAAGAAAATAAAAGTGACATCTTGACACAATGAATCTAACACAGGATCTAAAAGATTTCTATACTGCAGACAAAGGATCCCAGTCCAAAGCCATTCACACCTATCTTCTTACATCCACATTCTGATAAATATAAAATCCTTTCATTATAAATATTATCAGACAACTAGCTAAATGCTCAGTTGCTACTGCTGTCATGCCTTACATGAGAAACTTCAATAATATTCAATATATTGAACATTATTGAATAATATATTGAATAACATATTGAATATTTCAATTCAAATAATATATTATTTTTATTCAGTAAAAAGGACAGCTCTGATAATGTACTCCAAATTATTTTCATTTCATGTTAGACTACAGATTCTTTAAAGGAACACAGTGTTAGTGAAATCTGAGAATTTTAAGGGCCCAATGTTTCTCTAAGACTAGTTTTTCATGTACTGACTCTGAATTTCCCCCCAATGAGCTACTTTCAAGTGTGGTGGACTACAACTTCTCTCACTGCTTGCTCTGGGTCTGATAGCTACTGCAGTTTAACAAAATATAAAATACTGTACGCTGATTGGTTACAATCGACAAGAAGTGCAGTTCAGCAAATTTAGAGTACATCTGGATAGGGAAGCGATCTGTTTTACTGAAAGAGTAACGTTTTCCTTTTAATGCTTCTACACTGCGGAGTCAACTTTCTCTTGAAATTCCTGCCTGCCAATGCCTAGTACCTTTACAATAATGACCAAACATCATGCCAAATATTTATTTATTGCTAGCACTTCTATGCCACTTCAATCAGAAAAAAACTGCCCAATAATAACGGGGTGTGTGTGTGTGTGAGGGTGCGTGTGAGATGGATTTCTAAAAGGGAGAGAGAGCCTTTCTATGTTTGGAATATCCTTCCCAGAGAGACTCAAGTGGCACCCACAATGACCTCATTTCAGTGTCAAATGAAGACTTTTTTCAATTTCCCCAGGATCTTTAGGCTGCAGTTTAAATCATATAGTTTTAGATTTTGGTAACTGCTCTGCTCAGAGGTGGGATTCAACCGGCGATACTACTGGTTCGGTGATTATGTTTTGCGCGCGCATGTAAAATAACCTTAGGCTGTGCCACCCAGACAGCTGAAAAGCGTTGTGCGCAGGTGCGCAGTGTTCGAAAAGCCTCTTTTCCCCTGCTTTTTCAACCTCCACTGTGCCGCGCAAAGCAGCTGAGGTTGAAAAAGCAGGAAATAAAGGACAGCCAAGAGCCCGGGCGGGCAGGTGGGCTAAACAGCAGCAAACACAGATTCTGTGTCTGCTGCTCTTCAGAGCTACCGGCTCTATAGAACCGGGCAGAACCAGTAGCATCCCACCCCTGGCTTTGCTGCTGCCTAGTTTGTAGGTGCTTTTACTTTGAATTTTACTTGATTCACCTGATAAGTTTAAATTTGAATTGTTCTTTTTTTATTATGAAAAAATGACTATAAATGGATTACTGGGTTGTTTAAAAGGTTAATAAATAAATCTAATCCATCTAATCACAAAATAACGTAAGCAGAGAAAAACCCATGATCAATAACATTACAACAGAATTCCCAGTACCCATAGCGACAATCTCTCTATTCCATAGGTAATTTTCTTTTACTCCTGAGTCCCTAAAGGCTCTGCAGAATAATCAGATTTCCAATAAATTCCAAAACGTAGTAAGGAAAGAAGCCAATATCATGGAGGTGGGGGAAAGTAAACTGTTCAAGAGGAGGGAAGTTCCCACAGGGAATGCTAGTTTCTGAGTGCCCTCTCACCATACCACAAACATTGAGTTAAACCCCACAGATTTTTAAATACATGTTTAAAACAACCAGTGGATGTTTATTGTTCATAATCTACTACTCAAACTAAGTAAAATCTGATAATAATTTGTTTTATCTAAAAGCCTGCTACTGCAATACTTAAGAGGAGTATATCAGTTGGAAGTAGTGATAGGATCCTATTTGTTTCCTTGCTGCCCTTCCCTGTCTGACAAAGGAGCTTTCAGGCCACTGTATTTAGAAATCATCTCTGTGTGATAACCAGCATGTAATAGTTCGGCACATCATCAAGTAATCCAAGCAAGCAGTTGTTACGACTCACCAAACTCATGTCATCACAACACGCAGCGCAAGTGCATGAGGCCGCATGGGGATTTAGTATTCCATCCTGGAATAGAATTGATGGGAAAGAGCAGTATTAGGAATCTTACATGCACGAAGATGGCAAGACATATTAATTCCCACAATGGAAGAATGGATGGTAAAGATGATAAAGTTGGAGAAGGTGGCAAAAGTTTTAATGAAAGAGAAGAATCTATGTAGTGTTGTTGTCACTTGGAAATTGCTTCTGGACTTTGTGCTCGAAACTGAGGGGGGGGAAATGAAACTTTGAACTTAGGTTTTGATAACCAGATTGACTTTGTTGTTATGGTCTGAAATGTAAGGCAAAAAGTTAATGTTGTAACTTTTACAGTGTGTATTATACTGCACTGAAAAAAGTTGAAAGTCACTACTTTTTTTTCTTTCTCTTTGAAGTTCTCTTCTTTCTTCTCCTTCCTTCTTCATCATTCCTGATTTTTTTGTTTCTATTTGTATTTATTTTATAACAAACTTTAATGAAAACATTAAAACCGGAAAAGAGCAATATTAGGTTGAAAAAACTGACACCCATCCAGCATTAACACAAAGAAGCCCTTCCTAGCTCTCCAAGCACTGACAGCTTGGTTGGCACACTGCTTTAAAGTAAAACTAACCAACTAATCTAGTATCCTATCTTGTGATCCTGTCCCCTCACCTCTGTGTCTACCACTGTCATGCATACATTCGCCAGATGTGGTAGAACCACAAATAATGCAAATAGGGAGCTTTCTAAAGTACAGGCAATTTATGAAATGGTGTCATGAAATATAACTGTGGTGAAAAGAACACTGGATATGAAAGGATGCTACTACCAGAAACTTTACAGTAGTTAGATTTTCTTTTCTTTTCTCTCATCTCCCATGTTCAATATATTGCTTATTAAATCCTTCTCTTTTCCTGTGTTTTAAGAGAATAAAATGCCGGATATTTATATATGCATAAAGGGTGTCTTACTAAAGTTTTCCATTGTTTCTCTGACTCCCACATATATCTTCTAGTAACTTTTATCCTAAGCTTGCTGGAGGTCTTCTCCATTTTCAAGAAATACATTATATAAACATAAGTACAAATACAGCACATGATGAAACTCTTTCAAATGTCATAGTCCATTTGTGTTGATTTAGGAATCAATCCCACTGAATTCAGTAGGACTTATTGTGGCATATGTGACAATAGGAAGAGAAAGATGCTAAGGAATCTTACATGAATAAGGCACTGTATTGGCCTCCCAGCATAACGGATACTTCTTTTCCAGTCTTTGCTACTGGCTCTTCCAGCCATAGCTTCAAATTCAGTGGGGCTGTACCAGTTGTCCCCTTGCTTAATACAGCGACCTCGACCACCTAGTCCAGGATAAAACAAAGCAATAACTCCTGCTTAATAATTGCTTTATACAAATGAGGCTCAGAAGAGTCTACGAAAAGCTTTCCCTACAAGCTGCAGACTAACAGTTCCCTTCCCACTAAAAAAATGCCTTCCCAATATACTCTTAATGGTTTTGCAAAATGGAGCCTTCACTTTCATGATGATATAAGTGCCAATTTTCCTTTCCCATTCACAGCTAAGCGCAACACTGAGATGAATAACATGCAGGCTAGAAAAGAATTTCTTCTGGGCCCTTCATCCACTTTTAATTGCTAACATTGTTAATGATTTGGCCTGCTGTGTATAAATGAACTTGATATGAAACATGTACCATATATTGAAACATGAGCAAGTAGCTATCATTTAGATGGCTTGATACATGCAATGACTTGTATCCAAGTTAGTATTTTCTCCCTTTGCTCTCACAACAGACTGGGTGGAATTGTGGAGGACAGGAGAACAGTGAATATAGGCAGGGAATTCTTAAGTTATATTCCACATTTGCACTGCTATCCAATTTAAAAACAGATCCTTTCATAACTCTAAGATTGACTTTGTTCCAAATTTATTGAAAAATTTAACTCTGAGTAAAAATCAATGTTTAATCTTAGCAGGTTAAAATTTTTGGTGGGTTCTTAATCACTCAGATGGATCAGAAAAATATAGGCTAAAATTCCTCACCTGAACCAAGTCGGTTTTTGTACAATATCCCACTGATATTTCGACATCGCACAGGCAGTTCATTATCATACACTGAAGGGTCCCAGTTATATTTTGTCCCACTTTTTTCTTGACCAGATGTTAACTGAGTAGTGGGGGACTGAGATCCTTCAAATAAAAGGAAAGGTAAACCAAGTCTTAACATACATTAGATTTGAATGCCAAAACTGTGGTCCTTAAAATGATAGGTAGTCAATAAAAAACCAAAGAGAACAACTTATTCCTTTAATAGTTAAAAGAAGAAAAATGAATATTAAATCCTTTCTAAATAACAAATCAATTGCCTGATTTTTGAAATATGGAATCCATGTAGAAAGGATTTACATTGTCATTATCTGCTATACTTTTACTATTCTTCTCAAGAAACAATAGCACTGATAAGGAAATATCTGCATCTTATAAATTCCATGTCATCTCCATACCTCAGCTATTACTGAAGCAACACAGGATGCTTACTTGTTTATTTCTTTACTTAAATAATAGGGCTTATAGACTACTCCAATTAACCAACCTGAGCAGCATACAATTTCCTAGTATGTAAGTGGGATTAAACATAAATATGAAACAAATTAAAAACAACACTATATATTACAATTACATAAAACTGGGAAATGTATTCAAAATAAACAACAAATAATCCATCATCTGGAAGGATTGCCATAATGACCCAGCCTCCCTTATTGACCAAACAGCCATGTTAACATCCTTAAGACTAGAAGGAAGGGGGCGGATTACATGTCAGAGAGATCCTATTCCAGAAGAGGGGGACAGTGACTGAAACACATTGTTTGTATATTACAGTATACAAACTGGCCTGAGTTTGCACATATGCAATGGCTAATGAATAGGTAAGATGTGTTTGTGTCTTAATAGCTTCCATAGAAGACAGAAAATGCTGAGGTACTATCACAACGGACCAATGAGAAGCTTGAACTACAGGACTTGCAAGAGAGGCATGGCAAATTGAAGATGCCTCTGCAAAAGCAGAGCCAATGACAATAGCAAAGATTAAGGAATTGGTGAGTAGTCTGGTTCTTTGGAACCTCTCCAGACAAGGAGAAGATGGAAGGTTGCCCATATATGCCCAGATAGCTGAATCTCAGAGAAGACCACAAGAGTGTAGTTTTCTGTGGGTTTGAGTGCCAGGAGATATATTAGCCATGTTTTTCATTTATAGTTCATATTTCTTAATCACTCATCAACCTCAGAGATTGCTTGCAACTACAACATAGTGTTTTAAAGGACATTAACTTTGCAAGCTTTATTTTCTAATCACTTTCAGAAATTGCCCATTAACCATCTTAAAGCTATTAGAGATCTTCAAAAACAACAAATCTGAAAAGTTACCAGGTAAGTTTAACATCAATTCTGAACAAATGAAAAATTAATTATAAACTTAAGAACTTAAAGTATTTGAAATAAACACCTAAAAGCTACATAAGATTTTGATCTGAAAAAGTTATAAACAGATTAATGGTTGAGCTAAATTTGTATTAACTTTTATTATATAGAATTTTAGAATTAATTATAAAAAATGACTAACTTTTCATAGGTACTAGGTGTATTTTAGCTACTTTGGCTGCTGTAAATCATTGGATTACAGGGCCCTCTTTTCCCACCCAAGCAATTTTGAGATGGGATGGAATGACAAACAAGAAATTGTGCTAATCAAATATTAGTTTGCTTATGCACTGTTGAAAAAAACAGTTCTAAATTTATATTGTATTTCTATATGATATTTTAAAAAGGTCCCCCATCTCACATTTTACCTGTAGTAAGAGATGCAGATGGCCCCTTCAGACCTGCACTCTCCACAATGGTGCCATCCGTGTGAACCACAATCAGAGTGGCTTTTTCAGCATTTAAGCTGTCCCCAATCTGAAGAGCTGTTCTTCCAGACTGAAATAAAAACATGTTTGTGAGTATAATCTACTGAAAGGATTAGATTTTTATGTTCCTTAATATGTAAGAATTCCTAACAAATTCCCTTAGAAATATCAAGTTGCATATATTGAAGAGGGCAAGAGGAACAGTCAAATCCCTCTCCTCCACATACAAATGTATGGAGACTAACACTCTGTTTTCTCCTTTCTTGATGAAAAAAAAAAAGAATATTGGGCATACAATCATTAGCTATAGCACCCTGTTTGATACATTACTCCACTTTTATAAGGAACCATTAAGGAGCACTGTCTGGGTATAGACAACTGCAAATACACTTTAAAATTAATTAACTAATCTAATCTTACAGAATCACATAAATATTTTCCTCAGGTTTAGATATATTTCCAGTACAGTACTCCATAATCTATTAAATACATTTACTCATAAAAAAATGAAATAAAGTTACGCTGGCAAGATTTCTTCATAAAGCCATGCTGACTTCTAATATTCTTGTTTTCAAAATGGTTGTAGATTGGTTGCATTATAATTTATTTTCAAATCTTCCTAGATATTAATGCCAGACTGAATGGTGTATAGTTCTGTCTTCCTTTTATTCCCCTTTTGAAGATAAAGATAATTGACTTTCTCAAGTCAACTGGCACTTCACCAGTTTTATAGCATCTCTCAGAGACAACAGACATACGTTTAATCAAAACTGATACATATGGTTTCGATCCCTTGAACTCATTTAAGGTCTGAAGATATTCATTACATTATGTAGTGAAGGCTGAGTCATACAGAAATAGAATTGTCGTTGTAAGCTCTATTTATTATTTTAGTCATGCCTATGGCATTTTATAATGAATCAGATAAAACCGCCTTGCCTCAGGAGATCTAGTAATCTAGACCTTGACACTACAAATGCAACTTCTATGTTGACTAACATTCTGCGTTAGCCAGAGGAAAGGGACCCAGTGAAGATAATGGTATCAGGAGAACCAGATGTACCACAAGTATTATAATATAACATTAAGTATTATATTTATTAATACTTGTATAACACAAGTATTATAACATTCCTAATAAATTTATACATTTAGGTGCAGCTCTTTTCTAAGTGATACAGTTGAAATTTGACTCCATTTAACTGGAGAGACAGTATTTATTTATTTAAGTAATCAAAATTCTACATTGTCACCTGCATGACTCTGGATGGTTTACAAATAAACCCATACAACCATATAAAACGTGGTTAAAAAAAACAACCCCAAATTAGAACAAAATTTAAAAACAATAAACAAGTGAACAGTGGACAGTAAAAAAGTTAAAAGGGCAGAGGGAACAAACCACCCTTCAAACCACCAGCCACCCCCAAGTTGCATGCCACTGTTAGAAGTTAGAACCCCATGCCAGTTGCTGGAGCCAGGTTTTGGTGGTATTCTGGAAGACAAAGATAGCAGGGGCCCGCCTCACCTCCAGAGGAAGGGGCAACTGCAGAGAAGGCTCTCTTCCTAGACCCCACCAGTTGAAATTGATCGATAAGGTTGGCAATATACTCTCTCTGCTTGAAAGGGTGGAATGGGTCAATAAAATAAAGACTGTTCCTTGAGTAACATGGTCCCATGCCATGAAGAGCTTTTAAAATGATAACCAACATCTTGAACTGGACCCAGAAGCAAACTAGTATCCAATGCCACTCACACAAGAGAGATGTTAGACGCACAACTCTAACAGTGGCTAAAACTGTTCGCACCACTGCACTGTACACTAGTGTAGCTTCCGGATAATCTTCAAGGGTAAACCCTATGTAGAGTGCATTGCAATAGTCAATGTGAGAAATGACTGTGGCACAAGTGAGCGAAAGAACACTTTGTGCCTTGTGGCACAGTGGTTAGAGTGCAGTACTGCAGGCTATTTCTGCTGACTGCCAGTTGCCTGCAATTTGGCAGTTCAAATCCCACCAGGCTCAAGGTTGACTCAGCCTTCCATCCTTCCGAGGTGGGTAAAATGAGGAGCCAGATTGCTGGGGGCAATATGTTGACTCTGTAAACTGCTTAGAGAGGGCTGTAAAGTGGTATATAAGTCTAAATGTATTGCTGTAGATGTTACTTCTCAGCTCGACTTGACAGTCCATAGCTATGCTGTTGTAGAGACACAAAGGAAGCCAGGGCTTGCCCAGATGCTTTTGGTTAGCAACTTCCCTTTCTGCTGCAAAAGAATTAAGTTGGAAGGCAGTTGCTACATAAGTTATCATTGACCCAAACTGTTGGGGGCAATATGCTGACTCTGTACACTGCTTAGAGAGGGCTGTAAAGCACTATAAAACGGTATATAAGTCTAAGTGCTATTGCTATTGTGGACTAACAACAATAAAGAAGAAAATGTCACAAGATGTTAATCCATGTTTAACTGTGACTAAATTAAAGATTTATCTGGATTTATACAATACCCTTGAATTGCAAGCTAGCCAACCTAAGTAATGGCTAGCCTACCATATTTGGCAAATCCAGTTGTATTTATTCTGCTCATCTCTAATACAAGCCTTGCTAATACAAACTGGTGCAATTTGGTTACATATTGAACCTTCATAGCTACAACACACATTTACAATAGACACTTTCTACCACAAAGGAAATATTGAATATGCAAAAATAAATATTGTAAGATTAAGTAAATCTGACCTTACCAATACATGTCCTGAGATTGATGCTGCATTTGCCACAGAAGTAGTGAATACATTGTCTGCAGAGGCACCCACATTGGCTACTGTTACTGTGGTTACTTCTGTAAAACATGATCCAAATAATATTTTCTGTGATATCTTCCTTCAGAACTACCAAAATCCAACAAGCAAATATGCACATGTTCTGTTAAATGAGACATTTATAGAATGATATCTTAATATGGATTCTGATGGCACAATTTTCATTATCTACCTATCAATTTATATATTTATATACAGTATATTTATATACTGACTTTATTAATAGAGCTATCGATGATTCTGTGCACATATTAATAGCCATAATAATAATAGCCAATTATTAAGGGGGAAAAAAGGAATCCTTGCCCCCCCTCTTTATAATCTGACAATCTTATTTTGGCTGATTTTTGTAGAGTTCAATTACTATTGGGTAAGGTTTCAGTGTGTTGTATTTAATCTTGTCTGCTGTTGCTCTTAGAAATTTTAATCAGTCCAATAAAATGCAAGCGGGTAGCTACAGCAATTGTTTTTCATCAAGTACTCCAACTAAATTAGTAACTCAGATGTAGATATTAAAAAAAAAATCAACAGTTCATGTTTCTCCGATAAAAGGCACTATGATGGAGAAATGCTAGATTTCTTTCTGTATGACCATCGACAATGGCCACACCACAGTCCTGTCAGGGATAAGAAGCGACACAACTAAACTAATGTAGAGGAAAAGGTGGCACTTTCTGCGTTTCCTTGACATCATGGATGATGCACACATGTATGTATATATCCTCATGATGAGGTACTTAGAGGTAAGTTAAGAAGATCCAAACGTTTCCACTAAAGGAGAGACGCTTGAATATAAATATTCGCGTGATGCACCATTCACACAAGCGAATGATTCACCACACGACCCGAGCTCAATGACCGGTGGGTGGCGTGCTTGTACGCATGCGCGCCAACCTGCAAAGGCAGCTGCTGCAGCAGCCTCGTCTGCACTCGGTAGGGATTCGGCTCCCATCTCAATGTGTTCGGCATCTGCCGCCATTACGGTGACAGCCGTCACCTCCTCTTCCTCTTGTGGCTCCGCCTCCGAACCGGGCACCTGTCCTCTGTGTTCGTGCTGCTGTTCGGATCCTTCTGCGGCTGCGGCCGCTGCTGCAGCCACTGCAGCAGCAGCAGCTACCGCCGCCGCCTCGGCTAAACCTAGTTGCTTCGCGGCCGAGTCCGAGTCCTCCATCCGAAGACACTTAGTGGAGGGGGGGAGTAATCCCGTGAGGTTAGCCGAACTCTTCCGAATAAGAGTTATTTCTCCGATCTCTCCCGATCTCTCCTTAAGAATCCGAAAGGGGAAACGAACGGCCCAAGCCGCTTCCGATCTTATCCGAGTATCGTCGACGACGGGTGTTCCCGAAGTCGTCCTGCAACCCGCTTCGGTCTCACCCGAGTGATCCCGATCGGAGCCGACTTCTCTCGATCCACCGAAAGTTCATGTTGAGGCGACTAGAGCGAGATCGGAAGCTCACGAAGTTACCCGAATAGATGCTGGTTACTCGTCGACCTACGGCCGCTGCCGAAGAGGCCCGAGTCTTTCCGGCTGTGACCGAACCGAGATGGGAAGCAAAGGTCCGAAGAACAGCGAAGGCTTCGTCAATCCTCCCTTTCACAATCCGGACCCACCGGCGGTGTCCGAGGGGCCCCGAATATCTCCGAGGACGCGAACAATAAAGGCGATCGTGGAGTTCCGCTCGCGCGAAACCCGCCGAACGGCAATCCGCCCATGCAAGCCCAAGAGCCTGCGCAAGGGTTGTCGGGATGCTGGAGGAATTGGGGAGGGTGGGGTGAGAGAGTATGGCGGCCGTCAGGCAAGGTGAGCGGAACTGCTTTGACTCGAAACATTGCTTCAAGTTTTGAGAACCGAGTTAAGACGTGGAAAGGGGAAGCTTAGTGGAATCCTGGACACCGTTGGCGACATCTCGTGGGTCATTAGGTTGCAATCTAGCCTGCTTGCAAATGGGTTACCTTGACAACAGGGAAACAGTTGCTTAGTTGGCTTTCAAGCAAGTTCTGCTCCGTTAAATACTGTACAATGCTAGACTATACTAATGAGACATTTGGTGTAATCTTAACAAAGGTTATCCTTTATAGAAGGCAACTGATAGACAATAATACTGGGGGGGATATTTGTCAAATGCTTAAATCTCCATTTTCTAGTACATTGTGCATTTAATATATTTTGTGGTTTTAATAAATATTTTACAGAAACTCATTGTTCCATTTTAGTCAAATCTCATCTTGTATATTGAAATCTAGTTTTAAGAATATAGAGAACTTGGAGCAGGTTCAAAAAAGGTAACAAGGATGAATAGAGAAGGAGAAACTAAATTAGGATAAGAATCAAAGTGTTGGGGAAGCCTGGCCTTGAGAAAAAATAGCTGAAGGTTGTTATAGTATTTTCAGATGAAAATATATACCATCATCAACACCTATTTTCTTTCATTTCAGAGGGCATAAAGCTGACTAATGGATTCTAGAGAAAGGCAGATTGCAAAGGGACATTAAAGGAGGGAAAAAAGAGTTTCTGAGAATAAGGGCAATTTGGCAGTGGTGGAGCTAGAAAGGTGGTAGGCTTTTATTTTTATTCTAATATTCTGGAGAGATGCTTTGATTTGGATTCCTCATTGAGGAAGGAATTGGATTACGTAAAAGACCTCTTCCAATCTGTGTTTCTCTAATTCAGTATTTATTGGCTATCACTTTTAACTAATTAACTGTTAACAACCTATCAGTGTTAACCACTAAAAAGTGAAACTTGCACCTTAAATTTGCATTTGTGCTGAAATTATTACCAACTAAAAAAATCATTTCATGGTTATTTCGCTAGAGGGAGACAGAGGTACTCTATGTAATTGAAATACATTTCAATAAAGATGTCAAAAGAATTGTAAACTGTATACAGTCTACCTTCCCTTACGCTCTGAGCAGAAAGATGTAGATGCTATATTATGTCATCTATACCTACAGGGAAAAATATCACACTGGATATACACTATAAAAAATAGAGAAATCTCCCCCCCCCCCCCCCCCCCCCCCCCCGGGGGGGGGGGGATGTAAAAACTCATATATGAGGGTCATGACATGAGGCAATATTTGTATATTTCTGTTCTGAAAATTGAAGGGAAGGTGGACTGTATGTACCGGTCTGATAGCCTATCTAGATATCCCTACGATAATTGAATGAGAGGACCTGGATAACTCCTAAACCTATTGCATTCTATATAGTTATCAGGCTGAGTTCAATTCCCAATACAAATAGTCCTCGACTTACAACAGTTCATTTAGTGACTGTTCAAAGTTACAACGCCACTGAAAAAAGTGATTTATGACCATTTTTCACACTTAATGACCACTGCAGCATCTCCATAATCATGTGATCAAAATTCAGGTGCTTGGCAACTGACTTATATTTGTAACAGCTCCAGTGTCCCAGGGTCATTTGATCACCTTTGTATGCTTCTGTCAAGCAAAGTCAATGGGGAAGCCAGATTCACTTAACAACCGTGTTACTAACTTAACAACTGCAGTGATTCACTTAACAACTGTGGCAAGAAAGGCCGTAAAATAGAACAAAACTATTTCACTTAGCAACATAAATTTTGGCCTCAGTTGTGGTCATACGTCGAGGACTTACTTGTAGATAGCTTGAACCCCAAAGAATAACATCTGGCAGCCCATACCTGAAGACTCTCAATAAACAATGAAACTGGTCACAGTGCTTCTGGCACTCCATATAAAGCATGAATAAAGATATTCAAGTCCAACATGACTCCTAGCACAGATATAAACATGTTCTTAAAGAGATTTAAATAAGCCTAGAATTCATAACTTCTCATTGTATTGCATAGCTCATTTTTTATTTATTTTTTATCAGAATTTTGGACTATATTTTAACTGCTTAAATCTGAATAATTCATTCCAGTAATAAATCTGCCTAATGGTTTCATGAATTTATTAAGTAAAGTATTTAGTATTTTAACTCTGGGTCTAAACCAAAAACTTGCAGAAAATTATGTTAAGTAATTTTCAATTAAGGTATTAAGGTATTATCAAAGGCTGATAGGGGTGCTGCAACTTTGAAATAAGTTGTGCCATGTTCTGAATTATACAGCTGATTTACTGTAGGACAGGAATGGCCAAACTCTTGGCATCACATTGTCAAAACATGACGTATCCCAACATTTTTCCCCTTCACTAAACTGGGAGTGGGCATGGTCAGCACGTGACTCACCCAGCCCAAGGGCCACGAGTTTGACACCCCTACTGTAGGACAATATTTCCTTTTCAGAATAATTAGAAGAATTTCTGCACACTAGCTTTTGTAACTTTTTCGCCTTAAAAGTTTAACTTTGGATAATTATTTTTGTCTTGTGTACAGGGAGATCATCATCTGTTGTATCCTTTTTCTTTTATCTGAAAAACCAAATCAACGTTGATTAATCATACCTATAATTTTCAAATGTGCTTCAGAGAGAGTTGGTATCTTCTTAGAAGTTTATGATGGTTCTTTTGAGGAAAGTGAATAATGGTGGATAAATTTCTAACATATACAGTAAATGCAGGAGACTGTTAGGTATATCTTACAGCAACTTTCCTGTTCATCTGATCTTGCATGAATAGCCTTAGAATATCATCTACTAAAATCCACATTAATTCCATGACAGTCTGTTGATGTGATTACTTCCAGAAACTGCAGAAATATGAGAAATGTAGCTATATGTCATTAACCTCTAATAAGTTTCATTTCCAGTCTTAATGTTTAAGGAGATGCTATGCAACTTAACAATATTGTTATTGACTGTAGGCATTAAGATATAATTGATTGACATACTGTGAAATCAGAAAATGAAATATATAGAATAATAATATTTAAAGGAGGAAACTGCAAGACACGTAATACAACTTACAGAAAAAAATCCCTCCAAAAGCATTTGAGACATAATGTTCAGCTATTTCTTCTACTGCAATCTCATTTTCATTTTCATTCCTCATCCATTCTGTAAACTGGAATACATCTGTTATCAGTAGGTTTTAAAATGTTCAATTGAAAAGGGATTATCCTTTAAGTAAAATAGAAGCAAAATGAATATCTACATAACAAACAATAATACACAAATTCCTTTCAGATCTAAGTGGGTGTGGTTGGCTTCATTTTCCCCAAGAAAAGTTTGCCTTTCAGCAATTTACTGTACATGTTCTAGCAAGAGCACTGCAAATATTTCTTCAATGCAAAACAAATGCAAAAATAATCACACCAATTTAATTTTGCTGTTTTTAAAAGGCTTCTTGCCATATTTAGCATTCTGTTGTCGATTTATAAAATTAAAGAGAACAAATAAAAACTACCAGATGTGTGCTTTTCAGTTATAATTCTAACAGATAGGTAGTTTAGCATAATGGTTAAGGTGCTGGTCTTAACCAGGAGACAGTAAGTTCTAGGTTTCCTTTAGTGTAAAAGCAGGCTGGGTGACTTTGGTCCAGTCACTCAGCCCAACCCACCCAGAGGATTGTTGTGGGGAAATAGGAGGCAGATGTTCTCTGCCTCGAGTTATATATAAAAATGTGAGATAAAAATATAATTTTAAAATAAATTTATTTAATTTTGCATAATCAATAACAGTATTTGTTATTTGGATTTCTATAGCATCCCATTTCAAACAGTTCTGAGCAATATGCTACATAAAATGAAAATTATAAACTAGGTCAAATTACAATAGCAATCCCATCCACTTGGAGATATTTAACACTCCTCCAGGTTTTCTATCACACAGCCATGTTGTCACACAGCTCCATGGAAACTGGTGGGAAGTGATGGTGCATATTCTACAGAAGGGCAAATTCTACAGAAGACAAGTAGTAGTAGTATCCATCTGTCCAATCCGTGACAGAAATCTGATGGAATTGCTACCATAGATGGAAGCTAGAAACTGAAGAGCAGAGTTCAAATGGAACATAAGCAATAGAAAGGGAGGAAGATGTTACTGTAAAATATACTCATCCATGCTTAGAAAAGCAAAATCAAATTAATGAATTTGGTAGTGTCATTAAAACAAGATCTAGGACTAAGTAAATGAACAAGTAAAAGCAGTACTCTTGTTGGTATTGTTCATCTTGCTAAGAAAATATATAATTTTCAATAGCAAATTGCAGATTTTTCAAAGAAGCATACATTCATAAAGATAAAGATCTTTAATTATACTGTCATCTGTTAGGAGTCAAAATCTGCCAAACATGGCCTAAAAATTCCTGATGTGTATTCATAACAACTTTCTCCTACAATGCATGGAAGACGCAGGAAGATTAGCTAGTTTTAACCTAATATTGACCAATAGGGTAGACTTAAGATGAGGAACTGAATGCAGCAGGAACACTGGGGAAAAGGTTAGATTTCTTGATTTTTAGACTTCAAAAAAGCATGCCTTTTTTTGGAAACAGGCTTGCTAATGGCACTGTGATTTGAAGTGGGGGCAATATTTAACTTTTAGAATCTTTAGAGGAGACACAGCTCTTAGAAATAATACTATCCGTACCATTTCTCCTAACTTAGAAATAATTCTCTATATGGGATCAGAGATTCTCTTATGACATTTTACTGGCTATTAATAGAGTACATAATTAGTGGACTCTTATATGTGGGTTAGTAACCTGAAATAGATTACAGTGGCACAGCTAAATAGACCATTAGCTGATTTTCTGACCTTATTCTCGATACCACACTACGATTAATTTGGTTTTAACTTTTCTAACCTCAGCCATTGTGTTTGTAAACTATAGTTTATGGCTTAATGTACAAATATAGCTGATTTAAGATTTATTCATAAATCATGGTTAAGGAAAATTGTGGGTGGCTTAGTACAGCTTCTGAACCAGTTTGCTGCATGTGCCCAGTAGCCAAGCACACGCGACATTTATTGAAAAAGTTCTTAATTCAGTCTCTAGTTGAAACAGTTTCACATTGCAGTAGAAACTACGTCATGACTGGATAGAAAGGAAATGTAATGTTTTGAAGTATTCTAAAACGTATGTTTGGAATCACTACGCAGTGATTCGGCAGGAACACTGGATCCACTCTGGAAGCAGCCATTCCTCAAAAAGAACATTAAAAAAAAACCTGCTTACTGAAATGTGGTGTAGTTGAGTTAGCTGTGGCCTGTGGCTCCTGGTCAACTGAAGCACAGTTACTTCACTCCGGTATACTTATCCAAGCCTAAGTTTATTATCAATCTTTGGAAATGGATTACTGATTTAAATCAGTTTATACTGATTTAAATCAGTTTATATTTGATTTAAGTAATTTATACTACCACTTGATAGACTGGGGCTGCAGTTTTATAGTATATAACACTGAAATATGATCCAACATAAATAAAATGTGAAAAATGTGATCGTAATTTTCCTTGACAGAACCTGCTAGCTGTCATCTGTTCCCCTACAGATCCTTTTCTTTTTAGATGGAATTTATTATGTATTTTATTTTTTAGCAGCACTTCTAATGATTATTTATAAAAGTAAGTTGTTTAAAATACAGAGTTAAGAGATGGTTCTGCTGATTCTTGACAACATGATATATGCTAACTTGATTTTTCTCTCCTTTTTATATTTTACTGTCAGGTCAGATTTTCACTTATCCATATAACTTATTGACTCTTGATCTCATATTGCTGTTCTTTATGGCACTTCTCGAAGCAATCCGCTTGTACTTTGGTAAGCATTATGTAATTTACAACCACCCCTTAATATTAACCTGTATGTAAAAATATGAGTCCAACTGTGCAATTCAAGACAACTACCCAATTATCTGATAAGCCTTTTAAATATTTTTACTGTTAAACATTAAAAGACTGGTCAATCTATTTGGGTGAAAGTGCAAATCAGACATTAATATAAAAATAAGATTTTTTTTCCACTGGCCAATTCAGTTGTTTTGCGCATATTAGCTCAGAAAGAGTTCAGTGGCACCTACTCTGCATAAAAGGACTACTTTAAAAAGTATAACGATTGGAGAATGAAAACTATTGTATATGCCACTATTATGAAATTTAACTGTACAGGTAGTCCTCAATGTGTAACCATTCATTCATTCATTCAGAGTGGGTCAACTACATTTCCAAAGCACCAGAAGGCAAGACAAGAAATAACGGATGGAAATTAATCAAGCAGAAGCAATCTGAAATTAAGGAGAAACTTCTTAATAGTGAGGACAATTAACCAGTGGAACAGCTTCCTTCAAAAGTTGTGGGTGCTTCATCAGTGGAAGTTTTTAAGAGAGTGAACAGCCACCTATCTGAAATGGTATAGGGTCTCCTGCTTGAGCAAGGGGTTGGACTAGAAGACCTCCAAGGTCCCTTCCAGGTCTATTCTGATTGATTTAGTGGCCAAAGTTACAACGGCACTGAAAATAGTGACTTATGACCATTTTTCACACTTAACAATCGTTGCAGCATCCCCATGGTCACATGATCAAAATTTGGACGCTTGGCAAGTGACCTGTAATGACACTCTCAGTGTCCTGGGGTCATGTTTTACAACCTTCAGACAAGCAAAGTCAATAGGGAAGCCGGATTCACTTAACAACTGGGTTACTAATTTAACAACTGCAGTGATTCATTTAAGTCAAGGACTACCTGTATTCAAGAGTTTCTCCTGTAGAATTCTAGACTGGATCATTACACACAAAAATTGTTCGTAACATGCTGCTACATAAGGGATAATAGCTGTGTAGCTTACAAGAAGCTGGTATCCCATAGACTAGGGGTGTCAAACTGGTGGCCCATGGGCCGTATGTGTCATGTGCAGGCCACACCCACCCCAGCCCCATGAATGGGGAAACCATCACGAAACGTCACATGACAGCAACGTGACGCCACAAGTTTGACACCTGTGCTATAGACGAATAGGTTTTTCTTTGGCAATGAGCCTGCCAGGCAGAACAATGAACCACAACTGTTTCTTCTGCTCCATCTTAAGACCTGTCTAAATATGTAGCCAGATCACCTCTGCCTCTTTAGCATTACAAACCAATACAACTGTGAAGGAAGAGCTGCTCAGAATCAATTGAACTGAGATGGGCAGCCAAAGAAATTGAATGAACAAATGAATTTATTAATTAATGAACAAATAAACAAGAAACATGTCTCCAGTTACAAGAAAGTTCTTAGCAGAACCTTACTCAGCAGTACTCCAGCAGTATGAAAGTTTTTGATCCAGCCAGATACTTTGTCTTTAATAACTCTAACATCATTAGGGTTCAGTTTCTATTTAAGATTGCATTATAAGCTGTTTCCGCCCTCTTTAAATTCAATTATTGTTCAGTTTCAGAGTTCTACTGTTATGGTCTGTCTTCATAAATGCCATCAGGTACACATATGTCCTTTCCTCCCATCAGGTACGAAAGGCAACTTGACAGAAGAGGAAGCTCCCCTTGGGATCAGTCTCGGAGTCACTATTGGCAGTGTACTTCTATCAGTCTACTTTCTAGTGTGGCAAACATATATCCTGAGAGCAGATGTCATTATTAATGGGGTGCTACTTGTTGCATATGGACTTGAAGGAATTCTACAAATCATAGCAATTGCTGCCTTTGTCAGCTAAATCATGTTGATGCTTGTATACTTGATTTTTCTGCGTTTTCTTGCAATAGAAGCAACATTTAAAAATTACACAAAGGAGATGTCCTGGCAATTCTGTTCCTTGTGACATACCAAAGTTTCATGAGACATTGGTAAAACAGGTTCTGCTGGCCCATTTTCAGCATAGTATATTTACTGTAATGACCTGTGCTTCAATGAAAGTTTGCAAGTTTGTGGCAAACAAGCTGTTTTTCAAGGGGAAAATATCTCTTTAAATACACAGGTCAATGCAGGAGGAATATTTATTTATTTATTACATGTATATGCCACCCTCTCACTTTTTAAGGCAACTCTGGGCAGCTTGCAATTTAAATCATAAATATTAAAATATTAACAATGTATACAAACACATGGCAAGGATAGGACAGAGGTGGCACCTTCCCTATAAGTCCACTAGCCCCCTCCAACATGGAGCATCCCCATCAGGACCTCAAACCATCCCCATCAGCTGAAACTCTTTGTCCAATAGGATGCAGAGCCTGCTGCTTCTGCCAGATTGAGTGGGGCAGACCAATCCCACTGGGGTGAGATGGTTTCTCAGCTTACCTGGTCCCATGCCATGAAGGTCATAACCAACACCTTGAATTGATCCTGGAAGCAAAGTGGCAACCAGCGGGAGGTTGCACAACACAGTATTACGGGTAACCACCTAGGATTGTGTTACTGCATTGTGTATCAATTGTAGTTTCCAAATACTCTTCAAGGGGTAGCCACATATAAAACATTGCAGTAATCCAAAAGTATATACACTTTTATTCAAAGTTAATATCTTAAAATTAGCTAGCCTCAGGTTCGCATTTTTGTGGCAAGTATAATTTTTTCTTGTTATATCGGCATCAGGCCAACAGATCATAGGTTAGCCTACAATTAGAATTATAATATTTTCTAATTTTAATTTGCAAGGCACAGCATAAAGAGAAAAGATCAGATACTACATCAGAATCGAATCTGCCATATCATAGACAGAAGTTACACATACTAAAATAGTGGTTCTTTCGCTTTTTGCTTAAAATGTGAGATATGTTTAAAAGCCATGGTTTATAATGTAGTTTAGTATGTAAATCCTGCTAGTAAAGTCTCATTCAGTACATTACACTTTTTAAAAGATGTAGTGTGCTTTACTGACCTATCTATAATCTTTCTAATACCTGTTAGCATTCTTGTTTGCATAATTTCCAGTTAACCAAAATTACACATTTTAAAGTTTCATTTCAAGAATATTAGATTGAGAATTATTCCACTTTACATGGAATACCTGGAATAATTCTTTTTCAACATGTTTACCCCCCTATATTTCCCTTCAGATTCTATGAAATCTGTTATTTGTTTTGAGTATAGTTAAGAGCATTTCTGAGGATTTTATCATCCATTCATGTTTCTTGTAATCGTAAGGAAAAGCAAGATATAAATGAATTTTCTAGGAACTCTATATAATATTGTTTTACCTTTTATCTTTATGTATGTTAATTTGCAACATTCCAGTTTTCTTTTGTAAATACTTGTTTTGTGCTTTTTTTCAAAAGCAGATATATAGATCTGATGACTTGTTTTTTTCTCCCAAAACCATTATATTTATATTTTTATATGTCTTTTTAATGAATATTTCAGAGATTGTACATATGTGTGTCTCTTATTGATCTTCTGATAGCAATGATAGTTGAATGTAGAATATAAGTCCATCTTGTCTGTGCTATATGTTATGGAGTTCTTATAGATAATGGAGCATTGCACAAAAGGCATAGGAAAGAGAAATGTCCGGTTTAGGGTTTAGTGAGTCTATAGCTTCAATAACTTGGAATTATTTCAAATCTGATTGTAGACATTTATCACTTTTGTAGGGCTGACCCTCTGGAAGTGGCTTGTATTGATGTATTAGTACCAGAGATAGAGGGAGGAGAGTTCAAGCTTGTGTGAAGATTATTATGGAGAATGCCTAACATATATAATTATTTCTGACATTTCAGAACAATGCAGCAGGAATGTTCAATTAATTAGAATGAGTGCTGATTATATCAGAATGAGCCAAACTTTGGAACAAGTAAAAGGGGAATGACATATAATTTTATAATTATACTTACCAACTCAACAGTTGTGATTTGTAACTCATTTTTGCATATGTTCAAGTGCATGTTTACATAAATATTTTTCATCATGATCAATAGCATTTACTACCATGGAAACATTGACTAGATTACTAATTTGATTAATTGATTACTCAAAATCATTTTAAATCGATTAGAGCAATGTATCATTTTATTGTGTTTTACTTCTCAACATTTAAGAGACTGAGTTTCTCCCATGTATATAGAGGTTAGAGCCTAGCAAACTAAGGCTGAATCCAATTCTCTAAACACTTCATGAATAGGTGGATCCAAAATCTCCCCATTTGGGGGGTGGGGTAGAAAGATTGCACAAACTTATTATAAACAAGATATAACAGAGTCACAAAAATGATTCACTGGAACATTTGTAAAAATTATAATGTGCCAGTAATAAAAAATAGGTGGGAACATAGAGTGGAAAAATATTCAAAAGTGAGCAGGTTAAAATGTGGGATTTGTAAAGACAAACTGATAGTCTTGGTCCTTGGTCCATCAGATTTAACTATAGTTAAAGAAGGAAGTGTGGATAATTGATGTGCCAATATTGGGATAGTAAGGCAGAAGACAAAAGAATTGAAGATCACAAAGTATCAATATCTGAAAATCAAAGTTGAAATATGGCATAAACTTGGTTATTTTGGTGCCCATGGTTATTGGCAAACTGGGTGTATGTTACCAAAAAATCTTGGACAACACTTAGAAAATCTATGCATTAGCAAAAAAATTGTTAATTGCAAAAAGCCACACTGTTTGGATCCTGATATATACACACAAATACATTATGACATGCTAAGTTATTGGGAAGAACTTGATGTATATGACAGCCAACACTAGCTAAAAAACTGACAACTGTTTATATGTTCATATTTTTAATCTAGTATGTAGCATTAATAATGTTAATACTGATGCACTAAATGTTTTACAGATGGATATTGCTAAACTCAATTCTTTTTATGTAATCTATCTGTATAAAACAAACATCTTTATGGCTCAGAAACTAATCTAAAGGGCATACGTAATATTGTCCACTATACATACAGAACATTTAATAAATGTTTTAAAGCAACCTAGTACCCTTAAGGTATTTTGTGACTGCAATTCCCAGCTAAATGTGAAAACTAGAGAGTATCAGGTTGGAAAAATTGGTTTACATTGCTAAGCATATTAGAAGTGCTTTCCTGTATCAAAGTGAAATACTGTAACCTTAAATAATTTTAACTAAACCATGGAGTAGATTACCCGAGTATTTCTATGCTATGCTTCATCTGCTATTTGTGTATATGAGCATGAATTGTCACGGTGAAGTCACAGTAATTGCTAAACACACTAACATTTTGAAGTGTCTAATTAAAAAGCCTAGCCCTTCTAGAACAGGATAAGCAAGTTTAAATTAAAGCTGCATTAAAAATAAAGCATATGCTTTTTAGATGTCAAAATCTTGCTTTGGGTGATGTTTGCTTCAAGGAAAACACTTCATTCTACACACAATTTGGTTAGCTTAATTTAAAATTTTGCTTTAAAGGGGGAAAAACATAAGATGTCCTATAGAGTTAAAGCTATTTTTTCATTATTTTGCTACTTCCAAACCAAATGAAATTAAGGGAAATTAAAACAAAGTGCTAGATTTCATAAGATGCAGTAAGCACATTTCTGCCCACAAGATAGTAAGTTATAAGTGCTTAGGGCAACTTAAGGGAGGACTCTCTTCACCTCAATAATACGTTCTGAAAAGTCTGAATATGCAGAAAATAAGAAAATCAGACCACACAGAAATCAGCCTACAGAGATACAATTTCTATGTTCAAATCATAGATAATGCAATAAACACAAGCTAATTCTGTAATTGGGAATCTTCCTTCCACCTCTTATTAGAGGCATTTAAAAATGAATACGATATTGCAAATTATTCATCTATGGCATTATATAATTAATGTAAATAAATCTATTCTATCCACTAATCTGATTCTAGGAGAGTAAGCATATGCCTAGAATTAAAAGATTTCAGTCCCTTCTTTCAGAGTCTCCACTGCTTGGGTTGGATTGTAAATCCCCAAATTTCTCTGGGCAGTATGTCAAATAGGCATCTCCTTTCTCACACTTTTCAAATTCCTTCATGCACCGAAATCACGTGGGTCTCTTGTATGCCTACATCTACCATTGTACCCTTGAGAAATCTGTCAATTTAACATGCTCTGAGCACATTCCCTCTCCCCTTGCAAATTAAAAAGACTCTGGAGGGATTGCGGGAACAATTCATACTGCTATTAGTATCAAGAAGCCACGGTAAGGTACTTTGACATGCATTTGGATATCACAATCTTTGAAGTCATTCTATTAACTTGCTTCTTTCTTTCCTGAAAGAAGAGCATACTGTAACTTATTAGTCTGAGAACAGCAGTTTGCCTTTATAAGGAAAATCAAATTGGTTTCTAATTTGCAAGAGCAAATTGCTACTTAGTGAAGAAGGGCACATGTCATTGCTAGCACAGCTCTGTCTAAGCCTTATGGCAGTTTTTCAGTGCTCCCGGGAAAAGCAGTACCATAATAGCACTGTCACAAAAAAAGATATATGTACATGACTTCAATTTCAAGCCACAGCACCTTTCTGAATGACAAATTGAAGAAAATTTTCTTTTTTTCCATCCCTGACTTTGGACAAGTATTGTAAATCAGAATAAACAAAACTGCGCAGCAGGATTGATGCAAAGTCCTCTACATATTAGGGTATTTAATCATAAACAAGCAGTGTGTTGTTGTTTATTCATTGTTATTTACCACCTCCTGTCAGTGGCAGGAACTAAACAAATGTGGATTGTGCCATCTTCCTTTGGTCTGTTTAGTCTTTCAAACAAATTGGGTTTTTTATAAATTTACCTTTTGTTCTACAGTTACAATAGAACTCTCACCTTTCTGTAGTCTGTCCTATCTAATCAAAATTATAAATCATAAATTAATTTTTTTTTCTGTTTCACACAAAAGATTCAAACGGGGTTTCCAATTAATGATAAACATGCATCATGGATAATGTTAAAGAAAGGGAGCAAAGGGAGCCATCCAGCTCACCTCTTCCTTGTGGTAGAAGATGATCAACAACTGGCAGGCCACTTAAAAATGAAGTTACTCAGAGTCTGAGATAGAACAGAACAGAATAACATAGTTGGAAGGGACCTTGAAGGTCCATGATGGCGAACCTATGGCACGCATGCTGGAAGTGGCACGCAGAGCCATTTCTGCTGGCATGCGAGAGGTCATCCAGAAGAGCCACACTGCGCATGTGCACGTGCCGCCCTCCCACCAGCTGATTGTTGAGTATCTGGCACGCATGTGCGGGGGCGGGGGTGTGAGGGAGACACGCGTGCATGCACAGGGGGCACGGGGGGCCTGCGCACATTGCCTTCTGGGTGCAAGCACGCGCACAATTTTCAGCACAGAAGCTTGGAAAGGTTCGCCCCCACTGTTGTAGGTCACCTAGTGCACATACACACCCAAGCAGGAGACCCTACACCATTTCTGCCATGCCTCTTTTTGAAGGCCTCCAGCGATGAAGCTCCCACAACTTCTGAAGGCAAGCAGTTCTGTTGGTTGACAGTTCTCACTGTCAGAACATTTCTCCTTATTTCTAGGTTGTTTAGTTTAACTCCTGGTGATTTCGTGTTTTCTTGACACCAATACTGACGTTTCTCTGACTTCCCAGTAGAATGTAATGGTATCCCTACACATCTCCCATCTAAACACTACAGTAACGAGGCTGACTCCGTTCGGCGTCCGCGTCTAGGAAACCAGCTATTTATACAGTATTAAACTACCCAAAGCAAGGCCGCTTCTCCGGGAAGAAACTAACAGCGTCAACTTTAGCCGGCCTCCTTCTCAGGAAATAGGCCTAGACTTGGGTTGTTAACTTTCTCCACCGCCTCCAACTCTCCGGTCCAGGGCAAGGCCCGCTGCGCTGAAAGGCAGCCTTGCCAACCCTGCTTTCATCAGAACCACACCAGGCTGGGCAGGAGCATTCCCTCCTCCCTCCCTCCGCCTGCTCTCTCCCCTCATCTCAGGCCCTTACTAGGCAGAGGCTCCACAGGACAGGACTGAGCGGTGCAACGAGCCCCGGGGGAGCCCAGGATCCGGGCGCAAAGCTGGAAAACGATGCCCCTCGGGAGCCGCCTTTCACGGCAGCAGCTTGGCGCTCGTATGGCAGCGTTTCCAGCCGCGGCTAGCGGTGTGTGCATGCGCCCGTGTGTAACTCACTTTTCCTCCCGCGTGAAAAAGTTTCCCAACACGGGCAAGAACGTGTGTGTGTGTGGGGGGGGGAGAGTTGCAAAGAAGTAATCGCTCCCCTCCCTGCCCCGCAAACTGGAGGAAATATAACGGGGCTCCAAAGCGGAGACCAGCCCGGCACTCAGCAGCGCCGCGCCAGGGGTCAGCAAAGATCCCAAGCCGGCCTAGCATGGAAAGGGAGTAACCTGTGGCTTGCGGCCGCGGCCGCGGCGACTCCTCCTCCTCCACCACCCCGCCTCTTTCCCTTGCTGGGCGAAGAAAGCCGCCCCCTTCCACCTGCTCGCGGCGAAAAGAGAAGCCAGCGGCACCGGGGAAAAGAGGACGACGCGGACCGACCACAACCCTGCTTGTTTTTTTTTCCGGGAACGAGGGCCGAGGCATGGCAGGACTCTGGGCCGACTGAAGAGGACGAGGGAATCTCGAGCGGGGAAAGTGTTACAAGGACCGGCGAAGCAGGAGGGTCCCGCTTGCCTGATTCAACGGAGGTGAGTACTGTACTTTGCCTTCCTCCGCAAAATGGGGAGAAACTCTCGGAAGACCTTTTTTTTTTTTTTTGCACTTTTCTTACCTGGAAAAAGGAGCGCAGCAGCCGAAACCCAACCTGGAGGAAGTTCAGTACAGAAAACGGGGGTGGGGGGTGGGGGGGTGTGTGGAGGGGAAGGGCAGCATTTTCTCAGCGTCGTCGGTGGGCCATAATAAAGCCATCCCTGCCGTACTGCTAAAGATCCAGGACAGCAAGTTTCCTGAGCGTGGGAACGCTCTGCCTCGGGGTGGGAAGCCTCGATGTTTTATTTTCGGGTTACACAACTTTGCCGAATATGGATCAGTTGGGATTTCTACCAGTCTGGTCGGAGTTTTTTGTCAAATGACCTTCTAGTATCCAGTTCATAACAAGAGGAGAAGCTTGAGTTTTATGAAACCCGATTTTCTGAACTTCGCAGTTCTCCTTTGCCTGGGTGGCGACGGTGGTACATGCATTTCAGTAGCAATATTGCAAGATACGTTTCTCTCCCTCCCCATCTCCCCATCTCTTCTCCCTCCCTCTCTCTCCCCCTACCCCTCAATTTCTTCTCTCCAGTAGAAGAAAGTTTTCTTAAATGTTTTCTGATAGGAAATCCTGGGAATTAATGACTATATCATCAGACAAATAAAACAGTTGACCATAATTGTTGCTAGATTTTAATTAGGATAATTTGATATAAGGTTTAATAGCAGGATCACTCATCCATATTGAATATTTAATTGCCTAGAAGCATAAGCACAAGAGTTTTCTTTTCTCACCCACAAATTATAAGCTTACAGTGAGTATGATTACACTTTGTACCTTGGAATTGGATACAAATGTCATATGAAAGAACAGGATATTTTTATAAATTATGATCTTAGCCTTGACAGGCTGCTCATTAGCATTTTATTGAAGTCATACCAAGTATATACAGGGATGCTGTTAACAAATTATGTGGATATGGATATTTCTGTCCAGGCACAAAAAGGAGAAGTAAAATATTGTCTGACTTGTATCAAACCATAAACAATCAAGCTACTCTATTCAAAAACACAGCTAAATTTCAAAACTTCTGATCTGAAATGTCTAAGCATTCCGAGTATCAGAATTTTCTAAATATCACACTATATTTTTATGTAAGTATGCTGCCAAGTAAAAAAAAACATTAAGCATATCAGAATTTTCAAGTTTTCCAAAATGTTTTACTGTGTTAAGCTGATTTAACTCTCTGACTGTCTAGAGAAAAGAATGGCCCCATTTAGAAGTCCCGCCTGATTGCTATTTTTGGTTAAAAGGATCTGTTATGAAAGAAGAGGTTGGAATTTATTAGCATTGCTGTGGAAAAATATAAGAAAGGGTTCAAGATGGTCTGTGTACCCAAGCAAAATGAAAACAAACTCGGGTCTGATTTATTTTCTAATACTGTAATATAGCAAAGCTGATTTTCTATGATTTCTTTGTACGTTGTTTTATTAAAGTTGTATGGCCCGAATTATATGGTAGGGTAAAAAAAACTGCAGCTTATTTTAGCACAATTGGTAAAAGCAGTCCACATCCTTGACTGGTCCTGGTTCCAATTGAATTGTGGCAATATAAGCATATGTTTGAAAAGTTCAAGGAAAGCATTTCTCATGTTACTTTAAGATCACTTACAACCCTTTTACACCTGATGGATGCAAAAGCATAACCTAGCCTTTCATTCTACTTCACGAGATGATTTTAAATAATGGCCTTCAGTTAGTTATAGTTATAGATGCAATATGGAAATTTACTGCTTGTCTTTCAAATTTTATGTTCGGATTGGAAGGGTTCAAGATTTAGTAGGCCTTCTAGGTCTATTTTTTAAAATACTTTTTATATTGAAAAGAAATTATGCAGTCAGTGATAAACACTGTACGTTTCTGGAACAATGTTTATCAACTGAGCCCCATAACAAGTCTCCGCCCTGATATCAGCATGAACCGCCAAGTCAGGAGGATTGTTTAAGTTTAAGATCCAACATCGTATGAAAATATGATCAGACAGCCAGAGCAGCCCAGTTGAAAGAGGGGACAAAGCCTGTATAAACCTGTGTTCAATCCTTGTTCAGTCTTGAAGGACTTCAAGAAATTGGAACTTCCTAACTTTAGTACTTCCTCTATAAAATAAGTGTGTCAATGCTTTTCCAGGGTTTCTGCAAAGAGGCAAAGTGAGATAAGAATTCAGTCAGTCAGTTGATTGCATTGTTAGATCAGAACAAGTATGTCCATGACTGATCTCTGACCACTTAAAAATCTATCTCAAGAAACCAGTAAATTAAACTTGAGATAAAATTAAAATACATCTATAATATAACCTGGCTACTGTAGAATCACAGTGTAAAATCCAAAAGGAACACTCAACATCTAGGCTATAAAAGAGGTTGTGTCTAAAATTTCAAAAATGTGAAGATGTTTACGTTTTATACAGAATGTGATAATATCTGAAGTTATATAACATTTGATAATACAGTGCCTAAAATTACAAAAAATATGGATCCATGTAGCAGAAACCTGGCCTGTTAAGGTCCAGGAGAATACAAAATTTTCTACAGGCAGTACCTTTTATAAGAAATAAATATTTAGGCAGGCAGGCAGACAGAGAGATTTGTTTTTAGCCTGACAAAATAACAAACCTTTTTTTAAAAAAAGCAATAACTACCAATAAATCACAAATACTGATTTAATGTTTCAAATAATTATTTGGGAATCTTTATAAAGGTGCACTCTTATTCAGTTTTGTTTTATAGCTTTGATATCTTTTTTTTTAATGGCTATAACTCTGAGTTGCACTTTAAGAAAACTTCAAGTACATTTGTGGTTTATGACAGCAACACATTAAAGTATTTCTAGAGAATGGAATTTAAGTGGATTCATATGGAATGAGTAATGCCACTGCCTGTCTGTTATATACCTGCCAATCTGTTCTGTGATATTTGCATGTTTCAGTATGTCTCCATCATGCTGTAGAAGTGGGATTATGTTGTCTCGCTATGGCTTGGTACTCTTATAATACTCCCAACAGAAGGTTCCTAGTCTATCATTCAGAGCAGTTCAAGCTTGCAAACTAGCAGTGAACTTACAGTAAATTGTCAGGGATCAAACTACTTTGCAGATAGTGCTTCTCAGAGTGTCTCACCCTATTCTACCAACTGAGCAGAAAAAACCATGTAGGCAATATTGTTTCCTTCACTTTACCTTTCCCCCCCTTCAGTGGTCAATCCACCCATATTTCTGATATTACGTATCTGTAGCTCTGATCATAACATGGAGCCACAGGCCTAAAGCTAAGCTTATTTTCAAACAGACAGGATTAAGAATCACTACAAGTACTCTTAAATTGACATGAGAATGTCTGATCTGCACCCAAGTCAGGTCAAGGAACTTGATGGCCTCATTTTTTTCTGACCTTGAGATATAAATAGTAGGTAGCACTGATGAAAAGATGGAAAATGCCTACTTTTCCAGGGACAAACATATTTTTACCCACACCTACAAAGAGATTGGACAGATTTGTCCTTAGCACCAAGACATAATTCTGCCTTTTTGATTTTGGAAAGCGGTGTGAATCTTGCCAACAATGGCTTACTCAATAATCCACAATAAAATAAATCATTTCCCACCTTCTTGGTGGATATTCTGCAATAAGAAGAAAGGCAGAACAAGTGATGAAAAAAAGAAAACAATAGCACTAACTAAAATCTGCATATACATTATGTTTAGTGCCTCGACATTATTGTAAAATACTAAGTATCCCTTTGGACTCCTTTCCAGATATTGTGCAAATTATATCCAGCACAGAGCAAGATAGTAATTGCAGGCTTGAAACTAAAATTAAATGGACCAGAAATGATGTAATAAGAAGATGGATAATTTGCTGGTCCTCCTTTCTGCCCCCTTTGTAGCATATAGAATTTATGTTTACAGTTGTAAAACTTGTTTGGGTATTGGCAATGCCGGCTGCTATATTGGTGCCCTGGAATATTTGCTCAGAGACAAGCACAATAAGCACAACTGTGGCAAAGCTACAGAACCAATAGCAACTGGTGCTATCTTATCTGGGCTTGCAGTCTTTATTTGAAATGCATCAGGGCTTCAGACTTTATCTGAGTTATTATTCCTGAAAGTTGAAAGGAATGTTGTTCCCACAACAGTAACAAATAACAGGTGATTAATCTCAGGTATGGTAGAAGTAGATTCATATCATGAACAGCTTTCTTATTACCACAAGCCATAACATGTGTAAGACTTCCAGGGCATCCAGCAGGTTCTCTTCTGGAGAACATTTGCTAAACTAGAGAAACTTGTCAGAGCCCAAACAGAGGGAGGCAGTTCTACTGAGCATTTGGGGTTGTCAATATCTTCTGCCCAACTTTGATAAGTTTCTTAAGTATACCAGGTCTGCTATATACTTTGGTTTGCAGTGTAAGCCACAGTTGGCTGGCCTGACATATGCTAAACCACAGTCCTGGTTTACAATTCATAGTAGTTGAGTTTATGCTAATCAAGCCCAAGTCAAGCAAATCATATTTTGGATTAGTGTAATTTGTGTACCCAGTCTGACCTGGTTCAATTAAACTAAGCCCAGTGGCTTTTATGAAGAGTAAAATTGCTCCAATTGTTGAAACCAAACCAGGGGGAGGGATTGAGTTAGATGAGGAATACCATTGTGAAAAGAAAAGATAGAAAGGGAAGCATCTTCTTTGAACTTGCAGCTTCTAATTCTGTTCAGTCTCATGGCCACATGAGCAATGAAGCCAAACTTTTGGATTGCAGCGAGCTTGTCCATTTTTTTGTTTTGATAATGTGACCATCATTTACTGAATTTCCTGGTCTGGAGCTATAGAGAAAGATTTTTGGGCTGTGTCTCTGCCTTCCAGTTAGTTTTTAACACCTACCAACTGCCTTGCCTTGTCTTCTTCCTAAACTATGAATGTTAATGATCAGGCTTGGCCAATCCATT